ACCCCACAAATATGTATAATCAATTATGTTTTGATTTAAAAAAAAAATCTCAGTGCAAAATATCTCGTTTTTCCCCATAAAACAAAAACTAACCAAACAAAAATGCCAGCCATTCAGAGACTTTTTTAATACAATTAGTGAAATTTTTGTCACACAGTTGAAAATGCTCAGCTGATATCTAAGCTTTGTTCTATTTGGACAAGAGAGAAATGACTGCTACAAATTGGAGTTCTGCTAGAACATCCTAAATGCTACTATAACTCAGGAGTAAATGGTACTCCTGAGGCCAGAGAAAATAATGTAAAGCATTTTTTAGATCTTAATCAGTTTCTCTATAACTCCAGAGGGCAAAACCATAGAAACTAGAGAGCGCACACTAGCACTGTTCCTTGGTCTACCAAAATCTCTTTTCCATACGCCNAAACTAGAGAGCGCACACTAGCACTGTTCCTTGGTCTACCAAAATCTCTTTTCCATACGCCTCAAAGCAGACTCTATTGACCTAGACCTATCTTCTCACACAACAAACAAATGCAAAACAGCATCTCATTTTGATCTGGGCCTCAGCAGACAAGTTTTAATTAGCTGGTCTTGCTCACAAAAGGCTGAAAGAATGCATGCGAAACACATCTGAAACCTTGGTAATATACATCATTCTCTATTTTTAAAATGCGTGATATGCCCTCCACCGCTATTCCTCTGCCCTCCCACCCTCCAGGAAAAGACAGGATATCCTTTTGGGATAGATTCAACTGCAGCATCAAAAAGAGACTTGTTAGAAGGATCTCCATGATGCTATTTTCCTCTGGCAGAATAATCTTAGTTAAACAAACAAACAAAAAACAAATAGCCAGCAGACCAACTAAAGACTTCTTTTTTAATGGATTGAAATCAAATTTTCCCAAACCAGTGCTTGGCAGAAGACTGTTCCAGATGATGCTAATAGATGTGGCGTGAAAGAGAGCATTCTGCAGTCATGTCAGTCCAAGAAATACTGTGATGCCTATCCCCCTCGCAGAGAGTCTCATGGGACACTGCACAGAACAGTCTCCACATCNACACACATGGCAACCTGAACCCAGAGACCCAGAGATCCTAGTTAGACTGTAGTTACACAATAAGGACACTTGAACCAAAACAAGATCCATGGAGTCATGGAGTCAGGGCCAAGTAAATCCGCTCCCTGGCAAGGCAAAGGCTCAAGGAACTTCAGCTTTGGAGGGCAGTGAGAAGCCATGGAAAAGGAGAGAAAGCAGCCCATGGGGAGACCTGGGAAAATGCAACACACTCAGAGAGAAGCAGACAAAAGACCTTGTGGGGCACGCAAGCTGGAGAATTTAGCAAAGGATTTTCCAGATCTCATGGAGTAAAGCCACACTCTGCACTTCTGGCAGGGCCTCTGCTGTCACCTCAGCATCACGTAAAGACTCTTTTTCCTCTCCACAGTGGAGTACAGCCTGGAGTTCAGTCCTGCCTCTGGCTGGGTCCCTCTTCCAGGGCACAGACTGCACAAACATAAACAACAGACCTGCTTTCTGCACTTCATCTCCATGAGATCCCTCTACAGCCCTACGATAATCCTCTATTTAACTTGAGCTGGTTTCACTGAACTTCTATTCTTTGCAACAGTAATCCCTGACCAGGACACAAAGATAACTTGCCCAAGGTCCCAGAACTAATAAACAGCAGAATCAAGTTTGAAACCAGATCTTCCAGTCACAAAGCCCATGCTCTAAACCCTACAGGGCTCTGGATCCAGGGGAAGACTTTGGACTTTTCTTGAGGATAATGAGAAATAGTTGCAAGTTTTCTAAACTTTGATCATTTTCTTTTTGCTTACCAGATGCTGTTTTAACTCATAACTATTAAACCAACAAATGGTTATTCACGCATTAGCTAAAAATCACCCTTCATACCACCTGTAGAACATGCGCCACATATTTGAAAGACCTACCTATTTATACTGCTTACTTCTCTCCCTCTTTAGAAAATGAGAATTTAAAAATATTTCAGGAGGAGAGGGGTTAGCGAGAAATCGGTTAATGGACACAAAGAATGATTACATTTTATAATGATTAATATGCTAATTATCCTGATATGATTATCACGTATTATACACAAGTATTGATAGTCAACTCTGTACCCCACAAATATGTATAATCAATTATGTTTTGATTTAAAAAAAAAATCTCAGTGCAAAATTTCTCGTTTTTCCCCATAAAACAAAAACTAACCAAACAAAAATGCCAGCCATTCAGAGACTTTCTTAATACAATTAGTGAAATTTTTGTCACACAGTTGAAAATGCTCAGCTGATATCTAAGCTT